AAATGAGCTGACACCAGGGGCTCAAGTGGAAAGCGGATGTCATAAGAATGATGAAATCAACATATGTACTAAAGTGCTGGACACAGATGACGTATGTACAGATTGTGATGAGTTGTATGAGGCCCTAATAAAATGCTTATTTAAAATAAATAAATAAATAAATAGATCAACTATAAATTCATGTTCATTTAGTATATCAAAATTAAAAATTAAAATTTAATAAATCCAAATCAAAATAATCCTCCTCAGTGGCCAATAGTTCCTACATACCACATTTTTTCAAATTGTCTCTATCCATGTATAATGCTAAATAAAATAGGACGAAATCCATTTGATATATATATCATAAAAACTATAAAATACTGTTCATTTTGGAGATGGTTAAAAAAATAAGAGTTGAATGGTCTATATATCGATAAAGGTATAGGACGATGTCAAGGGATCCAAGTAGAAAGGAAACTGTTCGGAAAATTCTTGTCATGAATGCTCTCTATTCAGTGTTTGGAAACTGATTGTGGTAGCAATTGTACATTCTACTTGACGAGACTGAAATTTGGAATGATATATGTATTAAATCCCAATTAATAAAAAAATGGCATAAGAATATGCTAGTTAACATTCACTAATTGTTAATATTTATTTTATCTAATGACACGATTTTCAATAATGTTTATTTTTGCTTTCCAATGTCCATATAAAGGCTCAGTCTCCAAGAATGAATGTGAATAGAAAATGCATTCATATAAATAAAAATTTAAAGGTACAAATGAGTACATTGTAAAATCTTCCTATCTTCCTGTCCTAAACCATGGGCCAGCTAAGTTAACACATAACCTTAGGCATCATAGCTAGTGTTATACTTTGCTTCATATCTTTGTACTCAATACTGCCAGCCATGTGTCTTTAGTGTGCAAACATTGGGATAGATGTTTTTACTACTGCAAATACAAATTATAGGATAACAAGGTAGTCAATAAATGAGGAGTGGGAAAAATTCTTGTCATGAATGGTCTCTATTCACGTAGACAAGTATATAGACACTGCAAATAAAAACAAATGTATTTAACATTATCCTCACCTTTATTACAAGGAAGACATCTTGGGAAGGGTAAGTTATAGAAAAAATAGCTGATCTTGCCAGGGTGGTAATAGCAGCAGGTGGGACATGTGGACGTAACAATATTTTCATCTGCTCAGAATTAAGGTCAAAATAAAAGTTTTCTGAAATCTAAAAAATAGATTGATGTATTAACTGTTTTAAGTCTATACAATTTATAAACTCACAAAATCATGCATACCTAGTCTTAAATTAGGACATTATATGCTAACCTACAGCTTATCTTATATTTCACTATGACCATCTTTATGTGACTAACTCAACTCATAATTAATGTAAAAACTACCAGGGAAATCAAATATAATAAACATCAGAAAGAATAATATGCTAAGTGTGTTCTATTAAAAGGTAACTATTAATAAAAAATACAACTAAATTATGATTGTCATGAATTACACCAAACTAGGCTTTTTAAAAAATCTTATGAACAGCTTGTCAGCAGTTTTGACTTAGCAGAAACAAGTAGCTGCAGCAGAGTTCCAGGGTAGAAATCCCTATCTTATATGGAACAGCAAGTCACTGGAGGCACGTCACGTGTCTACAGACAGTAAAACTTGGAGTTCTACATTAAGAATTGCTGTATGAGAAAAGTGGGTGAAAGGAGATATCAGTGTAAGACATGACAAAATAATCATAATTTACAAATTATCAAGGGTTGGTGAGGGAGGGCGTGGGGAGAGAGGGGAAAAAATGAGGAGCTAATACCAACAGCTCAAGTAAAAAGAAAGTATTTTCAGAATGATGATGGTAACAAATGTACAAATGTGCCTGACACAATGGATGTATGGATGGATTATGTTAAGAGTATGAGCCCCCAATAAAATGATTTAAAATATATATAGAATTGTTGTATGAAGTAGCACTTTGAAATTCTCCCCAAGTGTAATAAAGATACGATAGTTAAAAGTCAAGACATAATATTTATAATAAACATAAGTGGTCTTTTTTTCATAAGTGATCTTTTACCAAACAAAATTTGAAAATTGCACCAACATCCACTGGCACAATCATTCTCTAAGCATACATCATTTAAGTAACATCCTTCTGTTGTGCTACTTATTAACGAAGTAGAACATTTTCATACTCACTAAATTAAAAGAAAACTGGGTTTATTTATGGATCAGATAGAGATTAGTGGGGTCCCCCAAGACGATAGCCCTGGGTTACCCAGTGAGTCTGGAACTGAACTCACCCCCATGTAAGGTCAAAATGGCAGCATTGACTGAAGACAAAGTTCAGAAGGTTAGGAAAGGAGAAATGGACATTGGAAACAGATAAATGATGATACAGTAAAGGAATTACTCTATATATTCATGTATAAGCAGAGTTTTACAGCACATTTTTATGTTGTTTTTGTGGCTGATACTCAGGTCAGCTTATACTCAAATGTATATGGTACAAAGGATGAGTTGAAACAAAATGAGTATGAACTGTTAAATGAAAAACTGATCTTCTCTGTAAACCCTCACTTACATTACAGCAACTAGTTTTTCTCTTGTTGAAGTTGCTTTTGCTTTTTGTTTTTAAGACTTTCAGTGAAACAAAACTAGGTTTCTTTCATTTTTTAAAGATCCATGCTTAATTCTCAAAAAGGCAATCTTATAAAACAACCTAAAAACATGTTTCCTAAATCCAAGATTGACCTAAGACTATGTTTAAATACATAATCTTACCTTTTTCTTTTCCTTGACATCATATAAAGCCAAACTTGCAAAAATAGGCTCAATTTCTATCTCAAACCTTTAAAAAGAAAAAGATACAATAATTTAAAGTTGTTTTTTTTTAACTTTAAAAAAATAACTGGAAGGGAATTCTCATTCTAAAAATAATTTCTACATCTGTGCCTCGGCCTACATTTTCTTTCTAAATTTCACTTTTCCATGTATATTATTCACAATGTAAATCACCAACCATTACCTAATCTGTAATCCACCTCTATTTTCCCAGTGACAAATAATCTCAACTGCATAACAGTGCTACAGCATCTTACCAGCTAAAGTTTGTGGCACTAGTCACTCTCTGACATATAATTTGGCTTCTTTGATACATAGCAACACTTATATTTTAAGTAATCTTTAAAAATAAAAGCCTAATAGGATGAATCTTTTTCAGATAATATATTCAACAACAACAAAAAAAAAACATTAAGAAAATATGTGCACACTCTGCTAGTATACAGAAGTAAAATATATTCTATTGAAAATTGGGAATCCTGTTGGCGTATTTACAAATTGGGCTGTGATGTGAAAGGTCAGCAGTTCAAAACCACCAGCCTCTCCTCAGGAGAAAGACAGGGTTTTCTGTTCCTATAGAGAGTTACATACAGTCTTGGAAACCCACAGAGGCCGTTGTTACCCTGTTCTATAAGTCGCTGTGAGTTGGCACTGACTCTGTGGCAGTGAGTGAGTGAGTGAGTGGAGTATTAGCAAACTTTTTCTCTAAGAAGCTGGAAAAGGCTTTAACCTTTACAGACTATATGGTCTGTCACAGTTACTCAATCTAGACATGTAAAGTAAAAACAGCAAGATATTATCTAAATAAGTAAATAAATGACAAAGTTCCAATAAAATTTAAATTTCATAGCATTTTCACATGTCACCAAATATTATTCTTTTAATATAATTTGTAACTTGCAGCTTTAACAAAGATGGGGAATGGGTTAGATTTGGACCATAGCCACACTTTGCTGAGGTCTACATAATATACTAACTTTTGATACATGAGTGTATCATTGATCATCCTAATAAATTATAAATATTTTGACTGGCGGGAGTTCCATCAAGATGGTGACTGAGTAATACATACCGGAGAGGTACTCAATAGAAATCAGCGCATGAGAGCCACTGAGAGGGAAACTCCATTCTTCCAGGTCACAGAAGGAGCGTCATAAAGATAAGTAGACACAGATCCACTAGCTTTTGAAGAGCTGTGGGCTTCTGGCTCACCACTCCAGAGGAAGGCTGGGACTTGCCTTAGCCCTGCCACAGTCTTGGCCTGCACCAGGCTACTTTGGCCAGCGTAAAGCCTTTACATCAACCCAACCACAGCTTGCTGCTGCCTTTTGAGTAGATTTAAACCCCTCCATCCCAACAGTCAGGCAGGAGCTCAAATATCTCTTTACTTTTTTCTCTCTCTCTCTTTTCTCTTTCCTGCCACATGCTCAGCAGGCTCCGAACCCCCACCACCCCACGCCCTTTCTGGTTTTGTTTTTGTTTCCTCCTCTGTTTACTTTCACACTCCACTGCCAACTTTCAGGCTGCTCCTCTCTGCCCACCCAGCTGGACAAGCTCTCTCCCAGCCTCTGCAGCCTTACACTCACTCGGGGAAATTTCACCCACCTTCCACCACACCCCAAACAGCTACATGATCTCCCATTCAAAGATCTGGGGGAACTCCTGCCTACCCTCCAAGGCCCTCTAAGCAGCTAGGGGAACTACCGCCCACCCTTTGTGGTGCTCCATTCGGCAGGGGGATTGCCTGCCTGTCCTCTGTGACCCTACACATGGCTGAGGGAACTTCCACCGGCCTGCCACAGTGCTTCACATGGCCTAAGGCAGCACCACAAGTCATCCCCAACGCTCTACCCTGCTGGGGAACCTCCATCCAATCTCCACTTCAATTGTGCAGACTAGGGTAATTCCACCCACCATGTACAGTGCTCTACACCAAAGCAGGCACAACCACACGCCCTCTGCAGCACTCCCATTGCCGCAAGCACCCCCACTCGCACTCTGAGGCTCTCCAAGCTGCCCTGGGCCACACTACCAAGGCTTCTGTGAGATCATCCAGCGCAGTGCCATCCTTGTGAGCCCACAACCACCCGACCAGCATCCCCTGAGAGGGCCATCCAACCTGCCCTCCAAATATCAGAATACTGGTTGGCTAGTAAAACCGTGAAACCACAAGAGGATAAAGTGGTAGCCCAACCACCCAGTGCAGTTAGCTGCACTGGGTTTGAAAAAGCATTCCTATGAGTCTCCCAAACAGAGAGCCCAATGCTCTTCGACACTCCGGAAAATGGTACCTGGCTCCTCTAAAATAACACATAAACAGCAATCAGCACCAACAACCTCAACAAAAAAACAGGAAAAACAGAAGGCAATGTCAGAAGAAGTCATGAACCTAATGACATGCATAGAAGTAGGTGATGATCTGGCACAGAAGGAAAGCTTCAGAATGCTGCTTAGAGTTATACAGGATCTGAGGGAAACAATACAGAAAAAGGATGAAATGATAGAGGAGATAAATGCCATGAACCAAAGGTAGAACGAAGACCTAAGAGAGGAGATAAAAAAAGCCAGTAGTAAATTCACAGACACCGCAAACAGACTTGAGGAGGCAGAAAATTGTACCAGTGACCTAGAGGATAAGCAGGCAGACTTCCACAAACAGGAAAGGATTATCATAAGATAATCAGAGAAGCTGAAAAAAAACTGAGAGCCAGGTCTGATGCTATGAATAATTGGATTACCAGAGCAAGACACAATGAAGAGTCAATGGCAAAAACAGCAAGGGAATTCTTAGAGGAAAACTTCCCCAGCTTCATGAATGAAAACTAGGCAATCATTAAGGAGGCCAAAAGAACACCAGCTAGGACTAGATCTGAAGTAGTCACCAAGGCATATAATAGTGAAACTATCCAACTTTTAGTAAAAGGACAGTAAGAGCAGTTAGGGAAAAATAAGCAGTCACCTATAAAAGCAACCAAATAAGAATATGCTCATACCTAACAGCAAACACTGTGGTGAAGGAGAGGGTGGAATAATCTTTTCCAAAAATTGAAGGAAAATAACGCGAACCAAGAATACTCTATCCAGCCAAATTATCTATCAAGATTGATGGAGAAGTAAGAGTCTTCCCAGACAAGGAAAAATTTAAAACAATATGTTAAAAGAAGCCCAGCTCTACAAAAGATCCTTTCCAACCAAGTATGGTCAGAAGAGCTACACTAAACAAGCACAAATAAGAGACTGCCAAATAGAACAACTCCACCCAGAGGGCAACAAAGAGTAAACAGCCCCCAAGATAGCATTCGCTCAAGGGTGGAAAGAAGGCAATAATGAACCACACACACACAAGGGAGGTAGGAAAACAACCAGCACAAACGTATAAGATGACATCACAGAGTCCACAGATGGATGTAAAAACCATGAATATTAATGAACTGAACTCAGGCATTAAAAGGCAGAGAATAGCAGACTGGCTTAGAAAACACAACCAGTCAATCTGCTGCCTACAGGAGACACATCTCAAGATTACAGACAAAAATAGGCTGAGAATCAAAGGCTGGAGAAAAATAAACCAAGCAAATGACAATTGAAAAAAAGCAGGGGTTGTGATCCTAATTTCAGACAAAATTGATCTCAAGATGCAAGCCATAACAAGAGTTAAGGAGGGGTACTATATAATGCTCAAGGGAGAAGTAGACCAAGAACCAGTGAGCATAATAACTATATACATGCCTAATGAGAATCCCACGAAATTTGCCAAACAAGCAATCCAAAAGATGAAAAAAGAAATCACAGGCTCAACAATTATAGTAGGTGACTTTAATACACCACTCTCCGAAAAAGATAGACCACAGGAAAAGAAGGTTCAATTAGACAAATTGACATCAAAGTTATTTTCAGAGCTCTCTACCTAAATTTACCATGCTTTTCAAGCCCACATGGCACATACTCAAAGATAGACCACATGCTGGGACAGAAGTCAAATCTGCATATTCAAGCACATAGAGATCATACAGACTTCTCTCTCTGACCACTATGCCATAAGGCTGGAAATAAACAAAAGAACAATTAAGGAAATAAGAGCAAACAACTGGAGGATGAAAAACTATTGCAAAAGGAGTGGGTACTGGCCCAGATCAGAGATGAAATTAGGAAGTGTCTAGAAACCAACGAAAATGAGAATACGATGAACCAAAATTTTGGGGACACAGCAAATTATCAGAGGAAGTTTGATAACAATACATGCACACATGAAAATGGAAGAGAGGCTTATGACTGATATGCTGACACAAAACTTACAGCAATTAGAGCAGAGTCAACAGGACAGCCCTACTAATAGCAAAAGAAAAGAAATAATAAAACTCAGGGTTGAGCTGGTGGGGCTTGATCAAGGGCAATGAAGCCGAGAGGAATTCCTGAAACCTGAATGAAGACAAACATGATGGTGGAACAAAAGGAAAGTAAAATGAAATAGAGGAAAGAACTAGGAGGCAAAAGGCATTTATTGAGGTCTAAATACAGGCATGTGCATATGTAAAAATATTTATAAATAATTATAGGGTAATAGATCTATACATATATTTATATGTTAAGTTTTAAGGTACGAGACAAACATTATATAACCAAGCAAAGGTAGCTGATCCCTCTTGTTGTGTGCCCTGAAAGGATTTGCTTCTTATAGGATTTCAACCGTGAACATGTGAAAGAATATATCAATGAAACCATTTGGGAAAAAATTATTTTCAGAAAAAGTTGTAATCGAATTGTGATTTGTGCTTATCCATCAATTAATAAGAACTATGTTCAATTTTCTCATATTATAATAAATGCCTCTGTTGGTTCTTAATTTTTTTATCATTCAGCATTTATTAAAATATTCATCATTTTATATATTTTGGGGTTATATTGTTAATGTTGTTACATGCCATCCAGTTGATCCCAGACTATTCTGGATGGAATAAAGCTTGGGGGAGTAAAGCCTTCAGGACCTTGATTTACTGATAAGGCATGACTCAAAATGAAAAGAAACAGCTACAAACATCAAAACATAATTGGAAATTGGAATGAATGAAGTATGAAACTAAGAAAACTGGAAGTTGACAAAAAATGAAATAGAGCACATAAAGATCTATATTCTGGGTGTTGGTGAGTTGCATTGGACTGGTATTGACTATTTGGAATGAGAAAAATCAGAGTTTACTATGGTGGAAATGACAGATTCAAGAAGAATGAACACTTCAAGATCTATTTTGAAGTACAATGCTGTCTGTGATAGGTAATATCTATACACATACAAAGAAATCCAGTCACTACAACTGTTATGGAAATTTATGCACCAACCACTAAATTTAGTGAGGCAGAAATTAAAGAATTCTACCAACAGCTGTCTGCATGAAATGGCTCAAACATGCAATCAAGATGTATTGATAATTACTGATGATTGAAATGCAAAATTTAAAAACAAAGGGAATGGAACAGCAGTTGGAAAATATGACCTTGGTGATAGAAACGAAGCTGGAGATCACATAATAGCATTTGTAAGACCAATAGACTCCAGAGACGATTCCTGGGACCATCGGCAGAGCACATTCAATACCCCTGTCTGAAATTGCAAAGGAAGCAAAGCATCAGAGTGAAGGCATCTCATAGTAAAGACCGCAGAACAGTGAGGCAAAGCCACAGAGTGATTTCCGGGCCCTCCTTAGGCAGACACCACAGGACTACTTCCCTGAGAGGCTAAGGGTCAGAGAGAGACTTGGCTGCTGGCAGTGAAGAGGCGATGCTGTGCATTAATGCCTGTATCTGTAATGTTTTCTGATCCTGGCTTGTGGTAACCTGTTAAATCCCCATAATTGTGAGTACTGTGTGAGAATTCTGTGTGGCTACTGCAAACGTGCCTAGGGAGAAACATTTGGTATCAGAAGAGAGTAAAAGGATGGAGGGTGGAGGAATATCTGACCTCTGTCTTGTGGTAATTGGCCTTGGGCCAATGTAAAATTAAGTTCTCCCCACACACACACCCTACTGAAGTCAGGGGAGCCCTAGTAGTGTAGTAGCTACTCAGTGGGTTTTCATTCCAAAGGTCAGCAGTTCAAAACCACCAGTCAACCCCTTGGGAGAAAGACAGTGTTTCCTACTCCCGTAAAGAGTTATAGCCTTGGAAATTCATAAGGGCAGTTCAACCCTGCCCTCTTGGGTCACTATGAGTTAGCATCGACTAGCCATGACTGTAGCTGAAGTCAGAGATCAGATGTGGCCTCATGCAATCATTTTTTGACCATTCTGCACATTCATCAAGAGAAATGAAGTACTGATATTCAGCTCAATATCAATGAGTCTGGTGAGCATTATGTTAAATGAAAGAAATCAGACACATATTGCATAACGCCTTTCCCCTGATAGTGAAGTGGTTATGATGTCAGACTGCAGTGGGTCTAAAAGTCTGCCATGATAGCCAAAAACAGAGTCCAGGCTGATTTAAGAAATGCTAACCTTATTCCTGCAAACAAAAACAAAGACAACCACTGAAACCCTACAGTTCTACACTGCGGCACACTCATTGAGTGCGTCAATGGGATCACAAAGAGTCAGAGTCGACTCAATGGCTTTAGAATACTTGTGATATTTTGAATATTCTAAAAACCACTGACCTGCACAATTTAAAAGGTGGATTTATGGTATATAAATTATATTACAATAAAGCTGTTTAAAAAGCAAATAAAAGATAGTAAGAACTGATAGAAGACTGTACATTAAATCTTTAAAGAAGTGTTTTGATCAACTTAACTAAATATATAAAGCCTTAGCTTTGGAAGAAAAAATATTGCCTACATTATCTATGCACAGAATTGAGTTGCTTTCTGAGAAAGGTCTGAGAATTTAAATTTATTTTTTGTTACATCAGAACAAATAATTAGCTTAAAATACATGACATCATAAAAGCAGCCTTTCAATTACTGATTTACAAGCTGTGGCAGTTTGGCTTTTCTTTTTCACCAACATGGCACCTATAAGAAAATATGTCTGGGGAGACATGGGAGAGGGGTAAGTGGGGGGAAAGGAAGTGGTGTTAACGAATCCAGGGACAAGGGAACAACAAGTGATCCAAATCGGTGGTGAGGAGGCTGTAGGAGGCCTGCTAGAGCCTGACCAAGGGTAATGGAACCAAGAGGAATTACTGAAATCCAAATGAAGGCTGAGCATCATAGTGGGACAAGAGGAAAGTAAAAGGAAATAGAAGAAAGGACAAGGAGGCAAAGAGCATTCACAGAGGTCTAAATAAAGGCATTTACATATGTAAATATATTTATATATGAGAATGGGGAAATAGATCTATGTGCATGTATTTATAGGTTTAGTATTAAGGTAGCAGATGGACATGAGGCTTCCACTCAAGTACTCCCTCAATGCAAGAATACTTTGTTCTATTAAACTACCATTCCATGATGCTCATCTTCCCCACACAATCGCTGAAGACAAATGGGTACATAAGCGAATGTGGTAAAGAAAGCTGATGGTGCCTGGCTATCAAAAGATATAGAATCTGGGGTCTTAAAGGCTTGAAGGTAAACAAGTGGCCATCTAGCTCAGAAGCAACAAAGCCCACATGGAAGAAGCACACCAGCCTGTGTGATCATGAGGTGTTGAAGGGAATAGGTATCAGGCATCAAAGAACAAAAAAATCAAATCATTGTGAATAAGGGGGAGTACAGATCGGGGACCAAAGACCCATCTGTAGGCAACCGGACACCCCCTTACAGAAGGGTAGCGGGGAGGAGACGAGCCAGTCAGGTGGCAGTGTAGCAACGATGAAACATACAACTTTCCTCTAGCTCCTAAATGCTTCCTCCCCCCCACTATCATGATCCCAACTCTACCTTACAAACCTGGCTAGACCAGAGGATGTACAGTGGTACTGATGGGAAATGAAAACACAGGGAATCCAGGACAGAAGACCCCTTCAGGACCAGTGGTCAGAGTGGCGATACCGGGAGGGTGGAGGGAAGGTAGGGGAGAAAGGGGGAACCTATTACAAGGATCTACATATAACTTTCTCCCTGGGGGATGGGCAACAGAAAAGTGGGTAAAAGGAGACGTCAGACAGTGTAAGATATGACAAAACAATAATAATTTATAAATTATCAAGTGTTCATTTGGGAGAGGAGAATGGGGAGGGAGGGGGAAAATGAGGAGCTGATACCAAGGGCTCAAGCAGAAAGCAAATGTTTTGAGAATGATGATAGCAACAAATATAAAAATATGTTTGACACAATGGATATATGTATGGATGGTGATAAGAGTTGTATGAGCCCCCAATAAAATGGTTTAAAAAAAAGAAAAAGAAAGGAAGATGAAGCTTAACCTATCAAGTCAAAGCCTGATGACTTCCCTTGAAGGTGTGACTGAGATATATAACTCTAAAACCACGGTTCTCAACCTCTGGGTCGCGACCCCTTTGGGCATCAAACGACCCTTTTACAGGGGTCACCTGATTCATAACAGTAGCAAAATGACAGTGATGAAGTAGCAACGAAAATAATTTTATGCTTGGGGGGGTCACCACAACATAAGGAACTGTATTAAAGATCGCAGCATAAGGAAGGTTGAGAACCACGGCTCTAGAAGCCTTCCTCTCTCTGCCTTCACCTTCCTACTTGCTGGCCACCCTAAAAACTGCTGGGGCCCCGCAATGCTTCCACCATCATTGCATCCACATGACTTTGCACCCCCTGGCATGTGATAGTCCCACATTCTGCATCACTGCAATGTGACCGCATGAGTCGGAAGAGGGACTTATGGATATCACTGGAATTATGGACTTGAGTTGGGCTGGGCTTGGATGTTTCCCTGATATATAATTACTTTTTGATATAAAACTGTCTCTTATAAATCATGTGAGTGTCACAGAATTTGTTTCTCTAGTCAACCTGGTCTAACACACAAGCTGAATATAAATGTGACATACATCATCTCAATCATAGATTAGAAATAATTTTTTTTTTAGGAAGAAAGGAAATATATACTTCAAAAAGAAAGCTTACCATGTAACAAATTTAAAAATCAACTCTGTTAAGAAAAGATATTCTGTCTTCACATTCCTAATGTATAAAATAGGGTCTGATGAATCAGAGATTTCACTGAACATCATTCCATACTTTAACATGAATTGTTCAACTTTGACAAAGAGTTATTTTCACCTGTAAGCCAAAAATGCTTTAAACTCAGCTTCCTAAGTTTAATGGCCCAATAGTATTTTAAATGATTTACAAGAATATCATTTCTCAAAAGGACACAAATACAAGTTTAAGATCTACTTGGATTGTTATAATCAAAATATCACCACTGAAAATAAAAATCATATAATAAAAGAAAGGACTCACTTGAGTGATAAACATTTTACAAGAAGTCTTTGACCAAAATGTTCTTTGGGTACATCAGGAACACTAAGTCGTTCTATCGGTTCTTCCTATAAATTAACAACACCAAAATGAACGTCCTTATCATAATCCATGCTTTTATATTTATGTAGAAATTTATTTTCCCAATCTAGTACTTTTCATTCTTACAATTTAACATAAGAAAAAACAATTCATTTATACACAAACAAAACTCATTAGGTTGTAAGTGTGCTCAATTAACTGAAGTTAGTCATTAGGAATGAATAAATTCAACAGTATTAAAGTCTACTTCATTTAGTGAAACGACAGCAATATTTTAGTTAAGGTGTATTTTTTATAATATTGTACTTGTAAGTCTACTATACATAATTAATAACCCAAATATCTATCATCCTAAATATCTAAACAGTATTTGCTTCTTTGTATCTAATTTACCTCATCTGGTGATGGATGCAGACCAAAGAGCTCCTTGTGACGGTGTGCTTTCCTTTGTTGATCATTCTGATGGTCTATTTCTTCATTTGGAGTCCGATCGAGTAAATTGGGAAGCAAAGCATCAGGAAGAGAATTTTTCAAGTCAAAAATACTGCAGGCCCAGCTACCTCTTGGAGTATCATCTATTGACATTGAACGTCTTTTAAGATCATCCTGTCAAGCAAAACATTAAATACACTTTTCAATTCAAAGAAATGTTTTGAAATACCTTCTTATAATTATATTAAAAGAAATTATTACTTGATCATCCTGGTAGTTGTTGCCATCTGGAGCTTCATCAGATTCGAAGACTTGTTTGGGCAAACCCTTTTGCCTTTCTTTCTGTTTATCTAATGTATTGGGATTAAATCCTGTTCCCAGTTTGTGATACCTATTCAAAATAAAGAAATTAATTAATCTCAATTTTGAAAAAATTCTCACTTCTCAGCATTATTATGTAGTAAGTCAACAGTTTTCCACTATTTCTTTTTCTCTTTTCACAATTACCCTGTTCTAAGTGGAAGTTTACAGACCAAATTGGATTTGCAGTTAACAATTTCATACACAAATTGTGCCTTGACATTGGTTACAACCCCCATAATGTGTCAGGACTCTGACCATCTCCAAACTTCCTTCCATAGTCCAACTTCCTTACCCACCCCCCACCTGCCTTCTCACCTTTGCCTTGGTATAATTGTTTACTGTTTATAGTCTAGGATGGTTGGTTGTTTAAAAGAGGCATCCCTCAAAAGTGTTGCTATTTATTTTACAGGCCAATCTACTCTGGCTTACTCAGTTCCAGATTACAAGGGCAATAGTTTGGGGGATTCTTCCATGGGGTATTTGTCTATACTATTCTTCAACCTGGCAGTGTAGTGGTTATCAGTTGGGCTGCTAACCTCAAGGTCAGCAGTTCAAAACCACCAGCTGCTCTACAGGAGAAAGATGAGGCTTTCTTTTCTAATAAAGAGTTAGTCTCAGACACCCCCAGGAGCAATTCTACCCTGCCCTACAGGGTCACCATGAGCCAAAACTGACTCCAGGGCAGTGAGTTTGGATTTTTTATTTATTCTTCTCTCTACTTAGTACACTTTTTCTTCCTGATATGTATAAGATTCACTTCCATACTTCCTTCAGGTTTCTGCTCAAATTAATTTTATCAGGAAATCTTTTCTACTTACATAGAAAAGAGAATTTCGCCCATCCTGTCTTCCTCACCTCACTTTATTTTTATCCTTAAGACTTACCTCCAATCTATCTATGAAATGTTTATAATGTTCATCTACCTATGAAATGTTTATATGTTCATCTCCCACCAAGAGCAAGGAATTGGTTTTGTTCACTGTTGTCTCATTACTTAGTATAGTATCTGGCACATCAATAGATATTTGGTGATGGATCTATTAAGACAGCAACTGGATTAATAATGACTTGGGGGTATGGAGGGGAAGTTGGAAGGAAATGAGAAATCAACAATAATAGGTGCAAGAAACAAGAAAATGTTCCAAAGTTGATTGTGGTGATCATTGCACATCATGTCTTCTTAATCAGATTAAACTATTACATTATATGATGCTAATTATATTTCACTAAAACTATTTTCTTAAATATGTATTTGATGAATAAATAAACATATGAAGCATTTTCTATCCTTTCAATCTTTGCTAAATTATGGAAGAACTTTGTAGCTTCATTTTATAATTCACTGTTTAACTGTTCAACTATATCTACTCTACTGTTAAGTCCATTTCTTGAGTTTTGAAAATATTTTTCATTGACCAAAATTTTTTTATTTTCTAAAAGTAACCTGTTGATTTTCTTTCATATCTCTTTGATGATATTAATTACAGTGTATAAATATATATATGTGATAGAGATCTATTTTTATGTTAGAATCCTGTTAGGAGCATTGTAAACAAGAGCACCCGTGCTGCTGGTTTGCCCTGGGGTGTCCAGAGATGCTGGCACTCCGCGGGTGCTGTGAGGAAAACCACCATGTGCCTCGCTGCCGGCAGCCCCGGCCAGGGCGCTGACAGCGTCTTTGTAGGTTGAATAAAGAGACCCCTGAAGGGGAGCCAGGTAAAAAAAAAAAAAAATTATACTTAGGGACCTTGACCTATTGCTAAATTAACTATTTCCTAAATGGTTAGTTCTTTTATTTGTGGTTTGGTAATTCTCTTTCCATGTATTCTTACAGTCACCAAGAGATTCAAACTCATGGCAAACTCTTTAGCAGTAGGAAATTGGTTTCGTTCACTGATATCTCAACATTACTTAGTATAATGTCTGGCACGTCAATATTTGGTGTTGGATCCATGAAGACAACAACTGGATTAATAATTACCTGGGGGCGTGGAAGAGGAAGGGGGAAATGGGAAGTCAGTAGCAAGGGGTACAAGCAGGAAGAGAATGTTCCAAAGTTGATTGTGGTGGTATCTGCACATCCATAGGATAGCGCAGACCTGCACCTATGTGTTTCTGTAAAAGAGCAAACAGTCTCATCTTTCTCCCATGGAAGAGCTGAAGGGTTCTCACTACCGACTTTGCAGTTAAACAGCTTAACATAGCCCATCAAATACTTAGCAAATCTGGATTCTAAACTCATCTTTAAATTTGCATTTCCCATGTAGGTCCAGAAATATTGCATCTGTTTGCCCCAAGGCATAGTGGTAATGGGAAAGAGGAACTTCATGTTGCCAGGAAAGAAACAAAATCAATCCATATCTACTCTTCCATAGTACTGTCAACTGGGGATGAAGACTCCCTCTTCCATAGTACTATCAACTGCCCGGGTACTATTCTCTCGACTCAAGCCCCTATAAGTATTATTCATAAGAAAGGCAGACACACCTCTACTGTCCCTGATGGATACAAGTAATAAAGGGATTTTAAAGAAACCAAATTCTCCAAACAGCTGCCCCAGGCTCATTCCCTGTATTTGTGTTTCTGGGCTTAAAGCACTACTACAGCTTTTGTATAAATCTTCTCCTTATTTATAGCAGTGGGTTTTCTTTTCTATTCCAGGCATATCTCATTACTTGCCGTCTAACAGTATCCCTATTGTCTTTCATGTACCATGGCACTTAATGAATCATGTCCAATGTAGCCAAAAAGATAGGAGCTTTAGAATTGAACACCCCGAGATGCCAATTCTGGTTGCTCCACTTGTTAGCTCAAGGGACCTCACTGAAGTTACTGAACTACTACAAAACTAATCTACCTGTGAACTAATCCATCTTAAACTAAAACTAACAGCACATAGCAAATGCCCAATACATAAAAACATACTTCTCACCTAAGTTAGATCAGCGACCCCATATTAAAATGAAATACTGGATTCTGTATTTCTGAGGTCAATACACTTTGTAGGTAACCTCTTTTTATTAAGATTTCTCATGAATTTCTAACATACATGTATAAATATAAAAAGAGTTGAATTATGTGACAGAGAAAGTACTTTTCTTCAGTAAGCTCTAAAATCTGGGTACTGGAATACTTATCAAAATCATGAGCTTATAAAAATAGTTCTTCTTTACAAACATCAGCAGACTGTGTACTTTATTAGTTGACACTAAAACTAAAAAGCTTATCAGCAGAGGGATGCTTAGTACAACATTAAGCCCAGTGAAACAAGACAGAAGCCACAGGGAAAAAGAATAAGCAGTGGATGCATCACTGTTGCCCTTGTAATTTAGCCAAAGTCTTCCTTCGGGAAACCTGGAAAGATGTCACAGAGTCCTTCACTACTATTTCCATTATGCTTCCTATAGAAACATAAAGCTGAGAAATGTCCGTACAAGACCTTTCTTCAGTATGCAAATTAGAAAAGAAAAAGTAATTCTGTTTCCTAATTTGAGTTATACATTTCAAAGACATACAATGTGTGGCAGGTACATCATCTGGTGTCAATTTGGGACTTGAGAGGATCAAGTGTGAAGGGGTGTCAATCATGTCACAGCAGGTGAGGCCTCTCTGGGAATGACCTTCCGCTGAGTATTCTGGAAAACTCTGGTATTTCCTTCTTGGAGATGGGAGAGACTCACACTCAGTACTTCACTCCCTTGGAGAAACTCTACTGACAAGACACATGGCACTATACCCTAAGAGCTGGAGAAGCCATATGGACCTACCCTGATACAGCCCTGAAGCTGGAGAAGCCACTGAGAGACCCCTGCCAGCACTGAGATGCTTGCAACGCCCCTGGATCCAAAGACTTTAAACTCACTGGCCTGTGATCATCCTGCATTCGGCATCATTAAAGTGTTTCATGAGTCTGAAGAGGGCTTTAGATATTGGTATCGGACACATGGGCTAATAATGGACATATGGGCTTAGACTGAACTGGATTGGGATGCTATGTTAACGTACAGTTAACCTTTATATAAAACTCTCTCATATACATATACGTGTTTATGGGTTTGTTTCTCTAGTCTACCAGACTAACACACACTGATAAATAAAGTTACTTTGCAAACATTTAGCTAATATGATCTACAGGTCCTTTAAGTTAGTTAATAAAAGATAAGCAGCTTGACCTGGAAAATCATCCATCAAACTTAAGTTGTACTGAACTGTATTTCTTGGAGGAAAAAAAAATATTCATCAATATCCACCCTTAATGTCCTAGAAAAAATTAGACTACAAAATCACTCATAACACTCATTATTGATGATCTATGATAACACAAAAATACTATACCCATAGACTAATAGTCAATAGGAAAAAGACATAAAAGTATTTATGTAACTACCAATGGAAAAAAAAGTCTACCTATAATAGTTCTTTTTATGCTTCTTTTACTTAAAAAATAACAACATTCAGGTGCTTGCTTCGGCAGCACATATACTAAAATTGGAACGATACAGAGAAGATTAACATGGCCCCTGCACAAGGATAACATGCAAATTCGTGAAGCATTCCAACAACAACAACAAAAACAACATTCAGGTCTATTATTTGGTTTTAGGTTATTCATCTAAGGAACCCTGGTAGACCAGAAGGTTGACTGTGGGTTGCTAAGTAAAAGGTCAGTAGTTCAAACCTAACTGTTGCCTCACAGGAGAAAGATGAGGCAGTCTGCTCTGTTAAAATTAGTCTTGGAAACTAAGGGGTAGTTCAATTTTTCTATAAGGTTACTATAAGTCAGAATCTTCTCAACAGTAGTGGCTTTATTATTAAGCTACCCTGATATATTTACAGATCAGTGAAAGAGAGGAAGACCCTTGATGAGACAGAGTGACACAGAGGCACATAACAATTGTGAGCATGGCAGAGGACCAACCAGTGACTGCTTCTGTTGTTCACAGGGTCCCTATGGCTTGGAACCTCCTTGAGGGCACCAAACAACCACAATGCATTTACAAGCCCTTAGTATTTAAATTTAATAATACACATATAACTTACTTTCTGATCACAACTGCCCAGTCTTCTGTATAGCTTCTTATACAGTCTCTAACATGTGGATCCATCTCACTATTTTAAAAGAGAGAATATACTGTAATCTACAAAGAACAACACTGATGCTTGTGATTTTGATTGCTACATTTCTTGTTACTGGATTAGTAAACTATGCCACCACCAAAAATAGGATCTAAATAAAATAGTGGAAGGTAGCCTTTGTATATTTACACTACCAAAAATGGGTAAATCTCTCCTTACCTTTCTTCTGGTACAGCTGAAACAAGGGTTCTACAATCCCTGGGGCTATAAACAACTTCAACATCATCTGGAGGAAAGTCAACCAAGTCCCGCAGAGGTCCAGAATCTACAGCTAAAGGATGAGTAATGAGGTAATCTTCCAAGTCCACTGGATCCACTGCTTCAGTAAGGGGCACCTTCACAAAGTGGGTTTAGGAAAAGGTGTGAGAGATAAACAAGATGGGGTAGACATAAGTATTTTATAACTTTGAGCAGGGAAAAAATAATTTTAAATAAATTATATTTCATTTAATTCTTTCTAAAATTTCAAGATATCCAGTCAGAGGCACTAGAGAAAATATAAGGTGTTAGCCTTTTTACATTGCTTTATGGTTGGGTCAGACTCTTTTACAGTATCACTTAGACTTCCCATACCTCTCAGATAAAAACAGCGAAAATAATGAACTGTTTTATAATGCTTTATATCTTACCAAGTGCTCATTGGAGGATTTTAAATTTTTTAATATCTTTGAGACTTTCACTGGTAAATTTCAACAGTGGTTTTACTTTATTTGTAGTTACTAGTGATTGTCCTGTTAAAAATACATAACCAGAAGATGGTAGGCTAAAAAAGAAAAAAAAAAATCCCTCTCAAAAAGACAGTCACATCCTAACCTCTGAAACCTGTGAATATTACTTTAAATGCCAGAAAGGAAGGAATTCCTTACAGATATGACTAAAGATGGAAACATTATCCTGGATTATCTGGTTATGCCTTAAGTAAAATCATATATATCCTTAACATGAGTGATGTAGTTAAACCTTATTGTGCCAACCTGACCGAAAAAACACATGTGGGGTTAATTGAAGGGAGAGAGATAAATGGCTCGGTGAGCCTCGCCTTTCTAGTTCTCCGGTCTCTTACTTTCTGATGGTCAGACCAGGGGGCAGCTACCTTAGCCAGTTCCCTGCTTCAGCTGGCAAGGCTCACTTCTGGCAAGACATCCCCAAGGAAAAGCCACATGGATCTACCTCGATGCAGTCCTGGGTGGTGGAGCAGCCAACTGGAGACCCTTGCCAGTGCTGAGATGCTTACACATTCACTGATTGGGTTTTCCTCCTGCAGTCGGCATCATTGTGTATGTTTTGTAAGATGGAGGAGGACTTTGTGGATTGGTGTTGGACATATGGGTTAATGTTGGACTTGGCTTGGGAAGCACTGGGTTGGATGTTTTCTTGATGTGCACTTACCCTTTATATAAAACTCTCTTACACTTATGAGTTTCTGTGGATTTGTTTGTCTAAAGTACGCAGACTAACACATTATGGTACCTTGGGAGTAGGGTACTGAAAAAAAAAAATCGTAAGATGGAGAGTGGATGTTGGTTTGACCTCTCCCTCATGGTAGTTTTTCTCCTTTGTCCAGCTGGAGGTCAGATAAAGCACACTGTTTACTCGGCTGTTTTCTGGGAAAATACAGTTAAGTATGAAAATAGAAAGTTTATAAGCCCACTTGAGTTCAACCATTAAAATTTGATCTTTAGATGGGTTTAGGCCACACCTGCAAAGAAAGCTGTGAAAAGATATGCCCCACCCAGTGCTTTGGAGTACTCAGGAGCCAACAGTTTTTGTCAGAAGCCCGAAAAAATCTGGAACCATGAAGAAAACTCCTCTCTGGGACGGAATGTTAAAGGGAGCCTGTGAGCAGGCTGAGATGCTTGTTAGGTGACCACCTGGATCTACTTGTTGAGTGGAAGTGGGAGAAATGCAGCAATAAAGAGACGGGTTGAGTTTGGCCACTGACACCTTTGGACTTGGTTTACAGGAAAAAAGTAAGAGAAGAAGAGAGCAGGTTGACTGGTCTAAAGTTCATGACCTATCACAATGGAGCTAGGCTTGTTGAGTATTGGTGAGAGCCCATGGTCTAAAGGCAAGGCAACCAATGGGTACCCTGTGGAGGCTGAGTGAGGCAGCCCACATTGAGTTGACCAGAACCCGACCAGCTGGAGATTTTTGAGCCTGTGAACTGATGCATATTGTTGCTGACTTTATGGATGGCCTGTCCGGATTTGACTGTGCTTATGGATGCAGACTTCACAAGGTTCAAACTGGAATGATGATTCTTCATGTCATAAAATATGAACTCAGAACGCTGGGTTGATGTAAGTGGCAAGTATATAAATTGGATACCCAAAATTGGGTGAAGTGGTTGGTTTAAAAACATTCATAGGTGGGGGAACATATTTACAGGATTATAGGATTAAGGTGTTACTTAATTGCAATTGTGAGGCTAAAGAATTATGTACAGGTGCCAAGTTGGCAAGGGGTGGATTGATAAACTTTATTGTGCCAACCTGGCTGATAAACACATGCGAGGTTAATTGAAGGGCAGAGAGATTAATGGCTTGGTAAGCCTCGCCTTTCTAGTTCTCAGGTCTCTTGCTTTCTGATGGTCGGACCAGGGTCAGCTGCCTTAGCCAGTTCCCTGCTTCAGCTGGCAAGGCTCACTTCCTCCAAGACATTCCTGAGGAAAAGCCACATGGACCTACCCCGATGCAGCCCTGGGTGCTGGAGCATGCTCACTGATTCGGCTTTCCTTCTTCAGTCAGCGTCATTGTGTGTGTTTTGTGAGATGGAGGAGGACTTTGTGGATTGGTGTTGAGGACATATGGGCTAATGTTGGACTTGTAGGCTTGGGCAGCACTGAATTGGGATGTTTTCTTGATGTGCACTTACCCTTTATATAAAACTCTCTCTTATACATATGAGTTTCTGGAGATTTGTTTCTCTAATGTACCCAGACTAACACAGGCTGCTAACCACAAGGTCAGCAGTTCAAACCACTATCCAGCTCCGAGGGAAAAAGACAAGGCTTTCTACTCCAGTAAAGAATTACAGTCTTGAGAATTCACAGGGGCAGTACTACCTTGTCCTATAGCTTCACTATGAGTCAGAATTGACTTGATGGCAGTGAGTTTGTTTTTTTTTATTATCCCACCAGATATTGTTTATGAACTATAACTCTCATTCACCACTGATGGAAGCATGAGAAACATGAATATACATATCCAAGAAGCTCAACAAGTCCCGTGTAGGATAAACTCAAGGAGTTATAAGTCAAGAGTCTTCTAGTAATTGCAGAGACATGTTGAAATACATTTTGTTTGCTATAAATCCATGGATCTATGAACTGAAGTCCCACTAGCAATACTTCTTTACTTGTATGCATGACTAGTTGCTTCTCTTACCGACTGTGTTTGGCTTTAGTCTGTTTAATTTATAACTGTCTTGGTGTATAGCTCTTTTTACTCCCACCAAAAGACCTCCCTTTTCTCAATGAGTTTGGGTAAGAAAGTGGTGAAGATATTGATTGGATTATATGATTCAGCTGTGATTATTAACAGGCTTGTGATTACATCTTACTCAGTATAAAATCAGCCACAGGGGAAGGGAGAGAATCTCACTATGACTGAAAGAGAAGAGCCAGCAGTGGAGAGTATGCTTTCGATCTGGAGATCTCCATGCACTGAATCTCCCTGCTCCAGAAAGAAGCGCTGACACCAGAGTAGTGATATAGGCGCAGCAATAGAACCTAAAGCCAGAGCTGGGACAAGGTGGTGGACTTCCCAGCAAACAGGGCAAGTAAAGCTGAGTGCTTTGGGGTAGAAGTTTGCTGCAGGGATCTAGAGTGCCTCTGGGCACTTAATTGAGGAAGTGGGTTTGCTGACCCACAGAGCTGGAGGCAAAAACCTTCGGGTTGAGGCTTACGGCAGAGTGTCATACATCTGTTAGAATAGAGGTTGGTTCAATCAAAGTACGGGCAAATTTACAAAACATTAAAGAGTAAGCATGAATTGTCCATAAATTGAACATTGATAAAATAATGATTGCCTATACAGGCAAACGGTAACCAGAAAAGAGATGAGGTTGTATCATATCAATCTAAAAGAATTTAAGTCAAAAACAACTACAAAAGACAGCATTTTATATTAATAAAATTGTCAGCTCATAAAGATATAATCATTTTGAACATAGACTCACCAAACAAAAGAGCCCCAAAATATATGGGGGGGAAATTGAAAAATATACAAGAAGATATAGTCAGTGCTACAATAATAGTTGGAAACTCTAATATCGACTTTCAATAATAGAGTATCTAGACAGATGATCAATAAGGAAACAAAGAACTTGAACAACAGTGTAAACAAAACTAAAAGACATACAGAATACTACTCAACAATAAGAGAATATTACTTATTCTTTTGTATAAATGGAACATTCTCCTGGACAGTAGAAAATAAAGCTCTCCATAAAGTTTAAAAGATCAAAAATCAAACAAAGTATCTTCTCTAATTATATGGAAGAAAAATCAATTCATAGAAGAAAAAGAAAATTCATAAATTCATGTAAACTAAACAACACACTGGTTAAACAACCAATGAATGGGTCAAACAAGAAAACATTATGGTAATTAGAAAATACTTTGAGAGGAAGAAAATAAGAACACAACATACCAAAACATATGGGACACAGTGAGAGAAGCACTCAAGTGAGAAATTTATAGCTATATAAACCAACATTGATAAACCCAAAATACACTGCCATCAAGTCGAAAACAAAACTGCTCCAAGGCTGTAAATCTGTAAGGAAGCAGACTGCCTCCCAGTCGTAGATTGTTAGGTTCAAAACCCAACCTTTCCGTTAGCAGTCCAGCTACATGTGTCACCTTTGGACCAACAAAGATTTCAAACCAACTACCTCAATTTACCAAGAAATAAGAAAGTCAGCACAAACCAAACGCACTGTCAACAGGAGTAAATAAATAATGAAGATTAGAGTTGAGATAAAATAGAAAACCAATAGCTAGAATGACAAAAAAGAAGCAAATAACTAAAATCAGAAATTAAATTAAGACCATAACTATAAACCTTACAGAAATTAAAGCACACTGACATACTCAACCCCAACTATAAGGACCTTATAGGACAGAGTAAAACTGCCCCTGTGGGTTTGCAAGACTGTAAATCTTTATGGAAGCAGAAAGCCTCATCTTTCTCCATGGAGCAGTTGGTGGTTTAAAGTGCTGAACTGCTGACTCATAACCCCTATGACACCAGACTCCTTTACCGAAATCAAAATACTCTAACTCACTGCCACTGAGTCGATTCTGACTCAGAGCAACTCTGTAGAGGGGGTAGAACTGCCTCTGTGAGTTCCTTAAAACAATAACTTCTTATGGGAGTAAAACACCTCATCTTTCTCGATTGAACCGTGGTGGCATAGGAGTTACGCACTGAACTGCTAACTGCTAGATTACTAGTTCAAAGTCACCAGCCCCTCCATAGGGGAAAAGATTGACAATCTTTCCCAGATAGATTGACAGTCTTGAAAACTCACAAGGGCAATTCTATCCTCTCCTATTGGGTTGCCATGAGTCAGAACCGATTTTTGTTCTAAGTGGCAATTGATTTCGAACTGCTGACCGTACATCTAGTAGCCCAATTTGTAACTACTATGCAACCAGAGCTCCTTACAGAAACTTTTAAAATTACTAAATAGTACTGTGAACAACAAATTAATTTTACCAACATCTTACTACATTGTCTAAATAAGATGGACAAATGCCTAAAAAGACTTAAAGTTTCAAAACTAACACAAGATTAGAAATTTTCAATAGACCCATAGTAACCTGAATAGAAAGATTAAATCAAGAATCAAAATCTCCCCACAGCTCAGGACCAGAGGACTTCATTGGTCAATTCCACCAAATACTTTAAGAATAATAATCCTACTCAAAATCTTCAAATATAAAATATGTGTGTAAGGGGGAGGAGGACAGGGATGACAACACTTTCTAATATATTCTACAAGGCCAGCATTACCGTTATCAAAACCAAAAACAGCACAAAAAAACTAACCATCAATATTCCCTAAAATATAGATGCACAAATTCTCAACAGAGTACTAATAGTAATATAACAAAATATACCATATAGCTTATAGATTAAATATATCCTCCAAATTATTTGTTTCATTATTGAGGTCACACTAATTTAGGGTGTATCTTAAAAGTTATCCCTCTTGTGATATAAAAAAGAGCAGATTAGACATACAGACAAACTAGCACAAACCAGAGAATGGGGGGCAAAATGAATCTACAAGTCAAGGAACTCCAATGATTTCCAACTACTAGAAGTTAGACAAAGATGGACCTGTCCTTAAAGCCACTTTCCGAATTCTGACTCCTGGCCTCCTATGTTGTGAAATAAAAATCAATCATCCTTAAAGCCATCAACTTGTACTGTAGTACTAAAAAAATAAAGACAACATATTGTAAGTGTTACTTACTGTGGTGTGATGGGATATATTGCCAACAATGTTGAGGTTTTTGAGCAGTTGGGGAGAACCACTATATTGTCCAGAGATCTGCTTCCTAACTTCAGCTGCTACCGTTCTATAAAGAAAGCAAATACATTATTTTTAAAAGTTTAAAATAGGGGAAGCAAGGAAGGATGAGCCAGCCAGAGTGCAGTATAGCACTGATGAAATATACAACATTCCTCTAAGTTCTTTAATGCTTCCTCCCCCCACTATCATGACCCCAGTTCTGCTTTACAAATCCAGCTTAGAACAGAGCATGTACATGGTAAAGTTAAGAGTTTTTGGCACAAGGAATCCAGGACAGGTAAACCCCCAGGAACAATAATGGGAATAGCAATACCATGAGGGTACAGGGAAGGCTGGGGGAGAAAGGGGCCACCAAATGCAATGATCGCATAACCGCCCTACCTTAATCCAGGGATTAAGGGAGACAGCAGATGGTGTAAGATATGAAAATAATAATAATTTATAATTTGTCAAGGGTTCATGAGAGTGGGCGGGTGAGGGAGGGAGGAAAAAAATAAGGAACTTGGAGGAGCTGCTACCAAAGCTCAAGTAGAAAGAAAATGTTTTGAAAAGGATGATGGCAACATATGTACAAATGTGCTTGACACAATGGATGTATGGATTGTTATAAGAGCTATAAGAGCACCCA